AATCAGTTTAGGGAAGTGTAGAAGTGCTGGGACTCTATCAAATTCAGGATTTACGGATTTTAATAAATTACAATTGCAATTTATACATATGTTTAAAAATACTTGTGATTTATATGTGGTAAATTGAATTCCGTTTTCAGGTTGTGGGACATAGAAAGTGGGGCATGTCTGCGTACATTAGAAGGGCATGAGGAACTGGTACGATGTATCAGATTTGACAACAAACATATTGTTAGCGGAGCTTATGATGGGTATGCATTCCAAAAACATTTAGTAAAACGTTTATCAAGAGGAATTTTTAATCATTTTAAGAATACAATTTCTGCCTATGGAAGGCATTGCTATTGTTTGATGATGGTTGGCTAATAGACATCGTCTTGTTTTTTGTCAACAGTAAAATAAAGGTATGGGACCTAGCAGCTGCCCTGGACCCCAGAGCCCCTGCTGGAAGTTTATGCTTAAGGACTTTAGTGGTACGTCAGTCCTCTTTATAAGTAATGTCAAAATAATACTGTATACAGGGTTATTTTTCACCATTTCAACTTGGGCAAAACTAAAAGGAAGCAAAAATATCCCTGTATACAGTATAAATGTTAGTAAAAGATTGAAATGTCATTTCACAGATGGTAAAATTAAATATAGGGGTGGGACGATATACCGATACACGATACATATCGATATTTTCCTCTAAGATACGGTTTACGATACAAGCATTGAAATATCGGTACGAAACGATACACGAACGACCTATCCAAAAATTGAAAATGAAAGTACCTGTCCTTGGAAAATGGCGGTTTGTACGAAGCGAAGAGACGATGATGATATTGAAAACATACTGTAGAACTAAAAAGTCGTTGATTAAGGGTAAAACGTTTTCACTTTAAAGCAGCCTCGGAAGATAGGACAAGAAAAGTTCAGTATGTAAAGCGTGCTATACACAGAAAGTATCGTTTCCAGAACATTTGACATTATTAATTGTTAGTCCATCTCATGCTGTTTTTGTAATCTCAACTAGGCTACAGAGTTACAGACTTTCAGCACTAGATTATAATGTACATGTGATGTGTTTTAAATGAAATTTTAGTCAATGTTCTTTGATGAACTACACAACTGTTTGTAAACAACTTGTTAATAGAAACTTGGTAACAATAATATGTACATGTATTATTGTTTTTGTAAAGTTTTAGTGAATGAAATTGATGAACTTCAAGTATTAATTTCAAAGCACACATGATTTTATATAGTCTAAGAATAATTTGTTGATTTAATTACTTTTTAAAAATAGTTTTATAATTTATCATAATATCGAGATACGTATCGTATCGTGCTAATATATCGAGATACGTATCGTATCCCAAGATCTGTGTATCGTCCCACCCCAAATAATTCGACAAAATTTAGCATTGATATGAATTGGGATGTTTTACATCTCCTGAGTTTAAATTTCTGATATTTGTAGGAACACTCTGGTCGAGTTTTCCGCCTACAGTTTGACGAGTTTCAGATTGTGAGTAGTTCTCATGATGATACCATTCTCATTTGGGACTTCTTAAATGTGCCAATAGAAACTACATCAACGTCCAATAACCGCTCCCCCACGCGGACCTACACTTATGTGAACAATTGATCTCAGAGGGCCATATCTTACCCTCATTGTGAGTGTGTGTGTTGAACGTTAAGGAGGGGGAAAAGGAGACCCCCTGCATTCCAGCACCCCCCTCCACAGTGAATGTTCATTGTGTGTCATCTCTCAATGTGTATGCTGTTTCAACTAGACGATTATCTCCCTCTCTTGTCTCACAGAAAGAATCAACAGAAAACAGTGGAGCAGCTCATTTTCCATTGTTGTCAACTTTTTTTTTTTGATCTGTTCTGTTAAGTTTTTGATTTTTTTTTTAAATTCAGCAATACTAATTTTGATTTACAAGGAAAAAATGTAAGAGCTAAATCTGTCAAATATCTATGTATGATTTTGGTTTGTAGTTTGTGTTGTAATGTATGTGCTCAGCTTTCCTTTTCAATTGTTTTAAACAGACAGCTGAGCAACTTCTAGTAAATAATTTTTGAATCCGGACCAATGTAGCTTTTAGATATAATGAGGATTTAATCAGCAGCTTTATTATTGTCAGAAGTAAATGCAAACAATTTATCATTTTACCTTAGTGCAGAGTTACAGCTTCTTCTTTTGAATTTTGAATGAAAGGATGGCTTAAATGTTCAGAATTATGACTGAAGTATCTGTTCAGATAGATTCTCAGTAAATGTAATATCAACTACAATGACTGGTACATTTCCATATTTCAGAATAAGACATTTGAATCTCAGAGTTGTAACGGTTGGTGGTGCTAGTGTAGCCATGAAGTGGTTTTATGTGTAACAAAGCAAAAAAAAAAAACCTCTACCGGTATTCCTTTGTAGATTATGCATACTTTATGTACACTACAATTAAGGAAAGCACAGGTATCGGTGCATTTGTTGACTAAAAATTTTCTTGTTTATAAGGAATTTTTATCATGGAACTTTTGTGTAGGGGTTTACTTTTAAATTGATCAAGTGATTAAAATTAAGAAGTGCTAAAGCACAAGAGGTCTATCTTAGAGCGGAGATGTTTGTTTACTGTATGTCCAGGAGAAAAATGTATGTATACTATATATGTGTTCTGCAGACCAGCGTGTATGTACTACAGATCAGTGCATGTGTACTTAGCATATATATTGTGTACTACATTTGTATTGTAAATGTAGTACATGTACAAATTAGTGTATATGTATTACATATAGTATATGTATTACATATACACAGCAAAATTAGTGTTTTTATGTACTGCATATTTTGTATATGTATGTGCACTGCAGATTTGTTTATATGTGCTATAGATTTACTGAGAATTAGAATATGAGTACTTCATGTACAGAATCTTGGGTGTATGTACTACAGGTACACTGAAATCAGTGAGTACTACTAGTACATTGGAGACCAGTGTGTGAGTACTACTAGTACATTGGAGACCAGTGTACGACTAGCTACTAGTGCGCTGTACCTCAGTGTCCGAGTTGTGAAGTCTGGGAGTTGTGTGTACAGAGAGTTTATGCAGTGCTGTGTGTGCCTAACTGTAAATACCTTTGCAATATGCCTAATGATTGTGATGTACTATTTATTCTTAAATATAAAGGGGATTCATCAGATATACATTTTTTTCTGTTGTATCAATTGAGTGAAGATTAACTATAAAAGAATTAAATTTTATAAAATTTATGAAAATACAAAGTAAGCTTTCTAAAATATGTGTTATTATCATGTGATTTAACAGCAAAATTGTACGGTTATTTATCAGTGGTTTTTCTCTAATGTTCCTCATATGTGAAAACAATAAAATTGTTTACTTATTGTTACAGTTTTTGTTTGTCAGTGATTGAGATAACAGTATTGACAGTGAATTGTTGGTAAATCACCTGCCACTGTAGCTTATCTGGTCTGTCAATCATGTTAATTGTTACTTTGTAGGTTAGATAATTATATGTAATGGATCAGGGTAGCAGATATGTTATTTATTTAACATCCATGAAAGTGTATATTGTGATACCAGCTCACAAAATGATACCCCTGCCTCCCATATGATTTAATGGCAAAGTCCATGATTTGCTCTGGGAGACCTGAAATATTGTCAGAACAAAAAGTAAAATAGAAGAAGCACAATGGCATTGTGTTATATTTAAAGAATCTATGAAAGTATCATTACATTTTATTCAGTGGTTAACTGTGGTATAGAAGGAGTTGCAGATAAGAGATGGGTACCCTTCAAGTTCAATATTGTTGAGAGAATGGCAGTGTCCCTGTTTTGCTATGGGAAATCGAAAATATGTGTCGGATCAAAGAGTAAAATAGTGGGTGCACAATGGATGAGTGGATGTTTGTATGCAGGCAGGTAATATAAGCTTTTGACATTTCTTTGTTCTCAGGAACCATTATGCCAAACTTGCAACCAATCAAATCCTTGGTAATAGGTTGGAGATTGAGCCAAAGTCCATTTCGGTGGATAATTGGATAGAAATCTTTATCCCAAGAACAAAAAGGCAACGTGAAAGTTTCCTGATAAAATGCAAATTTTTGATATCTTGGGTATTGGGGGTCTCCAGGTAAATAACACCACTGTTACTTTGACCACTCCCCCTCCTCAGGTAACCGTACGGTAAAAAAATTGGGTCTTTAAGATCATCCTTTGATCCAGTCACAGAAAGCCTTGACAATGGTTCTAAATTTTATATGGAAATATTTGTAGTTGTGTACCTTTAAACAAGTTTATAGGGAAAGGCAGGGTTATCAAATCACACAAATGTCAACAAATTTTTTAAAATTCTATTTTCTTTTCAGAATGTGATGTTATTGGATTTGGTCAAATCAAAATCACAATTGGTGTAACTACATGTTATTCATATTTACAGAATACAATGCAATCAACAATGGACCTGTGTGAACTAGGAATAAAAAGCAGTTACAAAGTCCCTTATCAATGACCCAGACATTTTCAATCTACAGATTCATATATACATGTATATGATTAATGTACAGTCAGGAATATATAAAAAGTCATTTTATTTGTTTACAAGTTTATTGCACAGAATATTTCAATTAAGGTATACATGTTGCAAATAAATGAGTTAAAATATAAGATGTAGTATAATGTGCGGAAAAACTGTGATCCACAGATCAGGTAACAGAGATTTTTTGTGACATATTTTCAGCTCGTTTGATGCATACAACCTTATCTTGTAGATATAAAACAATGATTCATTTTCTTAAACATTTATTTAACAAGGTTTTGAAATTGCACATAGTCCCTTTCCAAAAAGAATTTGGACAAATATTTTTCTGTCAGGCATGGGCACAATTACTGAAAAATGTAATTGATTAATTTGAACCTCCATATTTAATAACTTTTGTTACTATTGATTGTTGCAGAAATTATTTAATATTTTACTGTGATTAACAAGTATTTGAACATCGTGTATGTTGGCTTTACACATTATACACTATCCCTGTATTTCAACTATTTCAAAAATAAATAAATTTGATCTCTTAGCAGTAGAAGGCATAGGGTCAGGTGGCTGTACTGAAGCCCCCAGTGGGTCTAAGACAGTCCTTTTGGGGGGTCCAGGATTCCCTGGAAGCTGACAAGTTCTTACAAATAAGATATGTTTTTTTCTTGATTTTAGGATATTGGACATATAAATTTTACAAACAAAAATTTCAAAGGGGGGGGGGGGGGGGCACGCCTAGCGCGACGGCCCTGGATCCGTCTTTGCACCTACAGTGTAGTAGTCTAAAATATCTGACATTTTCCAGGCTTTTTTTTAATGATTTTGATATTTTATGTACCAGGAAAACGACAGATATTTCGGATTAAACATCTAGTTTATATTTCTTTTTTTTGTCCTAGTTCATACAGGTACAGTAAAACTCATTTACTACGAACACAGATATAGCGAATTCACGGATATAGCAAAGTTTTTCTGGTTCTCCGGCAAAATTCTTACCAAATCTTCATAAAATTTTACGGTTACAACGAACTCTGATATAACAAATTTACAAATATAGCAAACTGATTTTGAGTCCCGTTGAGGTTAAATATAATGAAACTTACATCTTTTATAACGAAATTTCAAAAATCTCAAAATTTGATAAATTGAACTGACTTTGTTTTCTTTTAGCATTTGTATATAAAATTCAATTTATAATAAAACCTGTTATGGAAGGTATGTTTTGTAATATTTGCTCCCTTAACATATTTGGTAGTAACACTTGAAGGAAAACATGCATATTGCGAATTCGCTACATATGGTTATACAAATTCGTTATACGGATATATTTACATTTGCAAATGTTTTCCCTTTTATAACACTATTTGAACAAGGCGTTTTTACATCTCCGTAAAACAAGTTCGTCATGTGACCATAAATTGATTGTTTAGTCATGATCAATCTACATAGTTTGATAGTGACGTCATAAGCGATCGACGTTATAAACACATTCAATTTATACCTGAGTTTTGAAAAAAAAACGTTATGGGTTTCAAACTTTAGTGAAGTGCGTTACTATTTGTAATAAATAAGTCACAAATGTTAATATAAGTAATAAGGTATAATTTTTTGAGTTTTATTGGGATGTAAAACGGTTTGGCACATAATCAAATCTTCCATAAAGCCCTTCGGGCTTCAAGAGATTTGATCACATGACCAACCTGTTTTACATCCCAATAAAACTCAAAAAATGATACCTTATTTCTTAAATGACGAATTCCGGATACAGCGAATTAAATTCACAGATCCTCAGAACTTTACTATAACCGAGTTTTACTGTAGTTGTTCAATTTGAATGTCACTTTCACTACATCATTTGGCACTCCTTGGTTTCTTTGATTTGTTATAAAAATATATGATAAATATTAGTTATTACACATGCTGTCTGTACAACAACAAACTTGTGTTTCACAGTCTCTGTGATGCATTCTATTTTCTTTAAAAAATAGATTATGCAAAATAAAGTTCACATACATGTAGCTATTCTATAGGGTACAGGCACTATAAATGTTGTGTATCAGATGATGATCTTGTGAAGAGAGTTTGTGAGACCACTGATTTAAGGTTGTTTTTCACCGTGCAATATAGCAACCGTATGGTTTCAATCAAAATAAGCATCAATCTCTTGCACATTGTCAAGTGTTTTAGATGCTGAGTGCTGCTACCATAATGTCAACGGTTGTTAATTTTTGAATTCTCTTCATTCTTAATTAATGCTTGAACTCTCGAAATACATCTGACAGGTCCATTTGTACATTTCAAGGAATTATCATCACAGGTAAGCTGTACTATGTGGTACTTTTCTATACGCTGGTATCCAGTGTACTATGGGCTGAGGGTTACGACCACTTCAACATACAAGTCCTTCATATGTGAACCTTGGTAGGATTTCCTTGTATATCAGTCCCTTGAATATGAACCCTTGATAGGATTTCTTGGCATATGAACTCTTCAGTATTTTATGAGTTCATATCAGTCCTTCAAACCCGTGGTAGGAGTTCTATGTATGTGAACACTTTACGGTATAAGTCCTTTAGCTTTGTACACAGAATGATATTGTGGCTTTAAGCACCATGATGTGGCCTGTAAATCACAGTTCTTTGTGTGAACACTTTACGGTATAAGTCCTTTAGCTTTGTACACAGAATGATATTGTGGCTTTAAGCACCATGATGTGGCCTGTAAATCACAGTTCTTTGTGTGAACACTTTACGGTATAAGTCCTTTAGCTTTGTACACAGAATGATATTGTGGCTTTAAGCACCATGATGTGGCCTGTAAATCACAGTTCTTTGTGTGAACACTTTACGGTATAAGTCCTTTAGCTTTGTACACAGAATGATATTGTGGCTTTAAGCACCATGGTGTGGCCTGTAAATCACAGTTCAGCACCACGTTGATAATTCTAGCAGGTGCCCCCTGTATTGTGATGTCTGTCCGACTCTCCACAGTGTAGCGCACATTGCTGGCTCCAGTCTCCCTGTCAAGTCGACTTGTTTTCTTCAAACAGAGAAAATAAATTGTTAAAGATAACACGATTCAACACCACTGTGAGTACTAAAAAGTCTCATTAAGAATTATCAAATACAATGCTTAAATTGATCATTGTCTTGACCTAAAAAGGTCAAAATCATATTGGATGAGGCACTCTGACTTTGTTTGAAATACAAATATGACATAAAGCTTATAATATATGTAATATATTATTTTAAAAAGTTGCTGCAGACATGTACAAGTCTTTATGCCCCGAAAACTAGTACAGTGTTTCTGTGATTAGTTGAGGGATTACATGGTACATAAAATGCTGACAATACGCCTTTCATTCAAATTCAAACAAGCTAATTCAGAGAGTGTGAATCTATCCCCCGCTTAAGGAAAAAAGATCATGCACAGATCTAAAGGAGGGGGGGGATCAAAGGGGGGGGGTTTTGAAGGGCAGGCAGGGCCATAAGGAATTATAGTATAAAATTTAATTGTAAAAACTCAACAGCTTCTTGAAGTAAAATCCACCTGTGACGTCATTCTTTTGTTTCAGCGCTCCATTACTTTTCAGGAATGGAGAGTTGCAATTTACATTGAAACTAGAATTTGTAATATTCTTATTTTCCTTCCCGTGCCTCTACCGAGGAAAGAACTTAGAAAATTTTAGAAAAGAATTTCAAAAAATTTTCAAGTTTATTTTCACATAAAGAAAATTATGGTACCCATGGTGAGAATTGATCCCGGTATCCTCACCTTTGGAGTCGGGTACTCATTGCACTGTGCTATCGAAGCTGTTGAAGTCACAGGATTAGAATAACTTAGTACACTTTTTTTGCCTTACTTTCTATAGTATATATACATGTATAAATTAAATAGTACTAATATATAATGTACATGTATATTTACAGCGTATCATATAAATATTCTTTATTATGTATTAACAAACATTTATTTAAATACAAGCATTCAAAAAGGTGGATTTTACTATAAACACAGAATGTACTCGTACATTAACCCTTACATATTGCCCGGAAATGAGTTTTACTAAAACACAGATGTATGAATTTACAACCTTTACCTTTTGACAATAAATATATGTCTTCCTTACACCATAGAGAGTTGTGGAATAAAACATCATTGCAAAAGCTTTGAATTTTTTATGATCAATTACTAAATGATAATATTTAGCATCTTAAATGAAGAAGTTATGACATATGGCATGTACAAAATATTATTATTGTGTGATACATGTAAATATTTTATATTAAAAGAATCTTCATACATGTAATTGTATTCACATTTAAAGAATAAGCAGTCAAATCTTTATATTCATATTGGCATATTTTATTTGCTTCATTACATAATTTAATAATTCTGCAAATTTGGGGAAGGGGGTGGGTGGGTGTTCAACCCCCCCCCCCCCCCAAATCTGAGCATCCTCCTCTTTTTCCTTCAGCGCAGGACACAAATTCTCTGAATTAGATTGTTTCATATGTACCTGATCACTGGTGACCTACCTTTTTGTAGAATTTTGGCTATGTCTTTCTAGAAGTAAATTATCAAGTTTGCTGTTTATAGATTAGTCTAAAATAAAGTAACAGACCTGTGTTTGTCCAAAATATCTGTAGTTGTCTCGTGGGCGTTTCTTTCGGTTGTGGATATGTCGGAATGTCTGATTTCCCGTGGTGATCCCCTTTGGTCTCTCAATCTGTTAATTAATAATCTTCATTATATTTTCAAAAGTAAACTACTACTTTATAGTGCAAAGTTTCAAACCTTTTTTTCTTTAAGAAGTCCTATGATTTAAATTCCTGGTAAATTCCTTCACTCCTTCTCTGACTAGACTTTACTGAAATGGTTGATGGTGATTAGTTATCAAGATATAAGAAGAAAATGCATAACTTAATACATGGTCACTATATCAAAATTTCTAACTCATTTTGGAAATATATATTTGACAGTAAAAATTTTTAACAAACCTATGTCAACTTTTCTGGCCTAAGTATTACATGTAGTTCTTGAGAAGAAGATTTTTGAAAGATGACAAGAAACTTTCATTAGTTCTTATTTATCTCTCTTGAATGAGTGCATGGCCCTTGATTTGATAAAATTTGAATCTGCTTTGTGGCAAGTTTGGCCCAGTGGTTCTTGAGTAGAACAGAGTTGACAGACAGATCCAGACAAAATGTGATCAGAAAAGCTCACGTAAGATTTCAGCTCAGGTGAGCTAAAATTAAGCTTACCTCCAGTGCCTGATGGTGCATTCTGACATAAAATTCATCATCTTCCCGACCCCAGCCCCAGTAACGATTAGACATACCATTTGTCTGAAACGCAACAAGACTAAAGTGTCAAAAACCTTGAGATTTTTAAAAGATTAATAGAACACCTAAGGATCTATATACCGGTATTTACTTTACCATCATTGTAATTATATTTCATATCTGTTTTCTACATAAGAGAACAATGTGACATCATCAAGACAAATCCCTAATAATATTTAAGCTCTACTGTATGTAGTTCTACATAGTATTTGATAGGACATTTAAGACTTAGAGAATGTAAAGACAAATTGATAACTACATGCATTTTTTTCATACAATATTAAATTTTTGGTACAGTATGAAAGAACTACGTACTCTAACTCTTGATTCCCGCCTACATTTTGCACCCATTAAATTCAATTTTAATGGCAATTTGGCCATTAAATCTTTGTTTAATACAAAGAACAGTTCTATGGTAATTGATTAATCATTTTAATTCCAGCACTAGATTGTAAATTATCATTATTTTAGCTCTCGAAAAAAGGGGGGTAGTTGATATTTTCTAGTGAAATCAAACTTTCAAGAATCACCATATTTTGAAGTAGTTTTAAATATGATAAAATGCATGTTTTACGCAAATAAATAAAACATATATGAATTAATAAAATACAATTATTTAGTTGTAAATAGCTTTAAAATTGGTGAAAAATCAGCATTTTTTCGTTTTTTGAATGTTGAAACACAAAAAGCTTTCACAATGGCATAAATATGTAAAATGACAGTCCATATTACTTGTAAAAAGGAATTTTTGTTTCACAGGGGGGAAAGATGTTTTAAAAATATTTTCCGTTTTTTGATTTTTGAAAAACTCAAGTTTTACCAAAATTATAGAATCTCTCTTTTTCCCAAAAAAGTAACGTTTTATTAAAATTCATATGAATATCTGTAAATATTTTGAAAATAATTCGAATATCTTCACTTTCAATTAACTTAGAGGTAGGCGGGAGAACAATACTATCGTTCGTGGTTCTTTTTGGTTATTTATATTTCAAGATAATTTTTTTTTTAGCTTTAAATGCTCTTACACTGATGAAAGCATCCCTAGTCAGAAGTAGGATCCCCCCCACAAACTTTTTGTAGTGATAGAGTGGGTGGAGTTCTGGGGAGGCGACATGATAGACCCCTGTGCGGGGGTATGGGTAGGTAATCGCCGGGTTCACAGGCACTAGGTCCACGTCATGCATGGCAATGTAATCACAGTCCTTCTGACTCTCCAGAAAACCAACATTAATGAGGGAAGCCCTGTTAAACCTGCAATATATTATCATTCTCTTTTTTAATTAGGTTGTGAGAGATACAAAGGAGTTTTTTTTTGCAAGTGTCACTATGTTAAGAAATAGAACTATAATGTCTTGTTTCATGTTAAATATTAAAACAAAGTATATACCTATAGTCATCCACCTGATTAATCACAAAAATCTGATGTGCTGTTCCTTGTTTATTTAGAAAGTTGTGAATGTATGGCACAAACTCCAGTAACTCTTCAAACCTGTCTCGGAATGGCACTAAGATAGCCATCTTGTGGTCACCTGAAGTAGCTATCGTCCCTGGCTGCTCATTTCCATGTTTTTCGTCTTTAACCAGTGGTTCTGTATCTCTCTGTAGTTTAATCATGAGGGAGATCATAAATAAGAAACAGACAAACAAACCCACCAGAAATATACTGGTTCTTCTCCTGAGTACCAAGCAACGGTTCCATGCTGGCATCGGTAATGGATGATTCAAGAAGGACAGTCTTTAAAGCAAAGAAAGACTTTTGTGTTTAAAAGTCGGTTATAAAAGACATCTGTGTGCATTTATCCATAAGCAGAAGAAAAATTATTCACTTATTGTGGCATGGATGAATATTGTACTTTTGGCATAGTTTTGGTTAAATCCTATTTACTATAAAGCGAGTGAAAATAGATTTTTCTGAAATTCTCCAAACAAATGTAACTGATGCTCAGAAGGATTCCATGCATCCAAAGCGACATTAGTCAGTTTTAGTTTGTTCATGAATTGAAGACGATTGACATCGGTTAAATGCGATACCGGATAATTATTTTGCTTGCTAAAATTCGAACAAAACCGACTTTTTACGGAAAAGTGATAAGCAATGTTAAAATAATATTATATACTCCTGGAAGAAAAAAAAATTACGATGTATTTATAACTATTTTATTGATAATTTTAGGTTTGATAATTATTTTTAAAAAATATATCATTAAAACTCTTTCTTGCGGACTTTGACCCCCGTTCACGCAAAACGTAAACATGACCTACATTTTCTATCCAATGGGTAGACACGTGCCGCGTGCACTATGCCATTCGGATCCCTTCTGAAAATTGACTTTATGTATACGTGAGCAAAAAGCTAGAGAGTACCGAATAGTGGAAAACGTGATTAACTAATATTAGCATAAAAGTGACAACAAGGCCATATGCTCACCCACTGAAGGCAACCTGTGTAACTTATGTTGTTCTTTGCAATCCGAACAAAGACGATTACCGTGGATTAACGTGCTGGGTAAGTATAAGGATTATTGGGATTAAGTAATGCAAGCGTTCTATGATTGAGTTGTTTTTTTTTGTTTTTTTTTTTTTACACTTTCAGCATTTTATCCAAGATTTAGTCATAAAAGCTAACAAGTGCATTGTGTTGAGAGGCTTAAACAAGCCGGCGATGTGGTTATTTGATTTTTAAAAAATAAATATGAATAAAGAACTTTTTGCAAAACAATTTTAGGCCCTAGCTTATGTGCCTAGAGAAATAGATTTTAGATTATATAGGCCTAGACTGGATAGAGCTAAGTTTGCTCAGAGACATGTTTTATATATGTCTCTAGTTTGCTGCATTCCGATTATATTGCAAAAACCCCAGTAACCCCTTTTCCTGTGTGTAAGAGTCGGAGTTGAAAACAAATAGATTTACTCTTGAAAAATTAAAGATGCATTGTTCATGCAGATGAACATCGTCTTGATAAACCTTATTCTGATTAAAAAGATCTAATTAATTAAATAAAAACTTGGCTAGGTGATTTATTCATCATCATTATTATTTCACGAAAATTGTCCTGCACTGGCTGATATAATTTCCATGTTGTATTAAAAGGGTATTAAATTCCCGACAATTTCAATGGCCCAGGCCCCATTTCCGAAATGAAGTGGAAAGTCCCTGATATATGGAGCGAATCAGTGATTATTAATAGTTTTACTATCAATTCGCAAAGTTTGGCATCATTGGTACCTTAAACGGATTGTATAATTCGAGAACTCGGTTTACTTAAATACATTTTTGAAAATCCCCATGTTCCTTCATGGCTTTCGTACCTTATAACGTAACCCCCCCCCCAATGTGAAATGAAAAATAAAACGAAATTATAAAAATAATGCTAAAAAAACTAAAAGAAAATTTTAAAATGTGTTTAAAGGAAATAAATCATTTCTTAGTATGCTTTCACAAAAATCGCATCCAAATAAATAAATAACTTTTATTTTTAATGGAGTTACAGAATAAAAACTTGAAAGTATTCATAAAAGGAAATATGCATTTTATTCAATTCAATGGTTAATTTTAACCAAACTGACAAGGATAATTTTATCCCCCCCCCCCTCGAAAAAAGAGAATTTTAAATATCAGTAAAACTTGCATTTACACTAACAAAAAATAAAATAAATTTAAACATGATATAAATGTAAGTAGTTTTGTTCTTCTGTTATTTTCTTTTCCTGCGAGCAGTTAGCCAATTTGCTTTTCCCACGATTCGGTTTTCGTCATCGTCGCAAACCACAGCCAAAGTGTTATTTGTTTTTCCGCAAATAAAAAAAAAAATAAAATACACTGGTAACATGTTGATATTTAATATTACTCTGTTACATATGTGTATTTCATTCTGAAATGCAGAAAATTATAATATTAACGCATATATATTCATTTGCTCTCGCGACGGCCTTTTTTGTAAAGTTGGCTATATCGGAAGTAGTTATTCCATTTCCTTAAAAAGCGTTCTTTTTTATTATCCCCACAGTTAGTGAAAATAATCGCAGAAAAGCAATTTTTTATGACTGAGTTGCAGGATTTTTTTTTTCACGGAAAACAGGTTAAACAGTTTAAAATATAAATATTTCTACAACTTTGTAAAAGCATTTGAAATGATTTTTAGAAAGTGGCTGCCGCGTATGTGTAACATGTAAAATATATAAATCCATCTTTTTTCCAGCAAATTATTAATCCCCGTCAGTCATTACCCCTACATAATACAGTATTTACCTGTGATATTTAAATAAAATATGAGCGCTCCTATAGAAAAAAGGACAAAAAAGGTCGTTTCCTGGTACGATGAAGAGGATATTTTTACGTGTTTAATGTCATTAATATTAAACAGTTAAAGCTTTTTCCCCGAAAAGCTCACTGTCTTCAGATTTAGAAAGACTTGTGTCATTTAATGACTCACAGGTTATCACGTAATATTTGACAACCGTTCTTCTTCGTGTTTCCTTTTCAATGCTGAAAACGAAGTGGGTTTTAACAATGATGTGTTATGGTGTAACACATACTTATGAATTCATTCCACACAATGAAATAGTGTTGTATTTTTTGTTGTTGTAGGAACACCTTGCTGATAAATCTAAATCAAAATGGTGAAAGATATCTGTAAAGAATGCAGGAACGGTGTTCACGCCTGGTAAGTATATAGATTCATATCTCAGCCACGCAGCATAGTTTTTGAAAGTGGGGGGGGGGGGGGGCAACCAGAGAAAAATTTACTTACTTGAAAAAGTTGACAAGCCAAAAAAAAAGGCCTGGTGCTACGTGCCTGTATCTATAATACATCCTAGTAAATCAACATGATCAGTAAATATAAATTATTAGCTGAAGTTTAATAAACGTTGACGAATTTCTATCGATAAAAAATAATTTATGAATAATTTTTTTAAATTTGAAATTAAATGGAAAATCAAATCGTCTAAATGCAAGCGATAAAACGTAATGTTTGAAGGTATTTCTGTACGTATTTTTATGTATCAATGTTTTTTTTTTCCAGCGGCAGCGAACCAAAGCAGGGCGAACAATACCGACCCCCACCCCCGTGTCACCATGGACACAACAGGGAGGACACAGTGGCCGCCCCTAACACCGACAAAAAAGTCAACACGTGGGGCTCATTCAAAAACAAGGACAACTTCTTAGAACTCCATTTTCGATGAATGAATAAAACTTTTTTTTCTAAAGGTTGCCATGCAATATGTTTAGAAATGCCTGATTGAAATGTGACAGAAGAATATATATAACTTTTTTTGTTGGAGAAGTGTCATAGTTGATGTATATATATCTCGAGTCAAATTACAGTACCTCAATTTACGGGTGTATTTAAAGTTTGTGTGTAAATGTATTTTAACATTCAATGCAATGATGTCTATTTCGTACATTTTTTATGTACAGCGTGTTAGGGTGGGTACGGGTGTGTGTGTGTGATTGTGTGGGCGTAATTTTTTGGAAGTAGAGTTTATTTAATCAATATTTAGAAATGGGATGAGAGAATCCAAAGTGTTCATTTTAAGTAATTTTACAAGCTTTTTGCAGAAATAATGTACCATGTATTATTTGCATAAAAATTAATTTGATTTTGCATCTTCTTGTTTAAATTTTATTTGGCGTAAAACTTTGCTATTTATACATCTCGGGTCCATAGCAACGTTTTTACAAAAGTGTGAAGGGGGGGTCTAACTTGCTCAAAACTGGAAATCCTATTTGGGGTTGGAAACTTTTCTCTTACTTTTTGGTACAGTTTTTAATGCTGAAATTTACCCGTGTTCGCGGTCGATCGTACACAAGAAAAAATATAAAGGGGGGGGGGGGGGAGGCATGCAACTTCAAAAGACTAGGAAAAAAGGGTAAGACTTCTACAGGCCAGCTTCTCCTTTGCCCCCCCCCCCCCCCCCCCCCCCCCCCCCAATTTTTGAACCTTTTGGAAATAGGATTTTCGATTTTTCACACCTCTAAAAATTCTTACATCATTAATATGTAAGATATTTACATTTATCTTGATGACTGAAATGTATATAGGCTATAATTAATTCTTTCTGCAAAATATTTTTAACCCGAAAAAAGGTCTTGTCACAATGAACACGTAAAGTTCGAAAGTCCTAGCATCAACTATTCAAAAGTTATGGCCCAAGATTTATTTTTTTTCTAAAAGTGGGTTAAACTCCAAGATCAAAGTTAAGAGGTCGATCAAATACGTTGGGTTGGTACCAAAGGAAAGATCTTGTCACAAGGAATACACATGCATATGAAATATGAAAGCCATATCTTCAAGTTTAAGAGTGATTAACCGCTATGGGCAAGGTTATTGTTTTTGCGAAAAAAGAAACTGATAGCTGGACAGACGGACGGTCAGGGCATAAACTATACATGTATACCCCCGAACCTTCGATTAACGGGACATAAACAAATTTAAACGAATTCGATCATACAATAACTTTCAGTTCATATCTTTGTAAAGAAGAATTAATAACACAGGTGATAAAACAACACTACCAGTATGATAAATTTCTTAACAGCGCGATTAAGTACTTTGTGCTATCTCCATGTACTAGTTTTCAAAAGACATGGCTGCCATTCTTGTACTAGTGACCTCCGTTCTGCTGGCAGGGTGTTCGGCGTTCGTTTTGGATGGCGCCTTCCTCCCCCAGTACTACCGGTATGGGAGAAGTCTCGTGTTGGTCGGCGGGAACTTGGCCGAGAATAACAGCGAGATTTACAATACCATCATCGAGTTGTCTGTAAGTTCTAGATACTCATGACAAGAGACGAACTATAATAGATGTGAAAGTTAAAAGGGAACTCTCGTAGGAAAAGCGGAACCCTCGTAGTATAAAAAAACATTTGTAGTTTATAAAGCACACCAAACTTCTTACAATGGTCAAGGTGGTACTATGCACTTAGCCTTTTCTAGATAGGATTTCATTTCCTTTGAATTAAAAAATTCGGATATTTATAGCAGTTTCAACATGCATTTGTGTGTGGAGTATTATAAGCAATAATAATACTTTAGGGCGGGAGGGGTGTCGCAAAAATCGGGATCATTAACGCCGCCAGCCTGGATCCAGTAGGAGGATACCAGTATTACAGGGACCTCTTTCTGAAGTTTGGAGCACTGGAGGCCAACAGGATCCCGATTGACGTCAACCACACCCACGCAAATGCAGACCCACAGGTTGTGTCACTCGTACGGGAGCAAACCGGCTTCTTCTTTGGGGGAGGGGACCAGCAAAGAATTATCGACACGTAAGTTCTGTAGTGTAGTATAATCTCTCTTTCAGCACTAAGATGAGATTTTAAAATACGAAGTGAATATAACGAACAATGATCAAACTCCTGAATCCAACAAAGAAAATTTTGAACAAGTTAAATGGCTCTGGAAATACCAGAGGTGGGATGAGGTGCCATTAGGAGGAGTAAGCATCTCCTGCCGACCGATCATATCCGCCACGATCAACCTGCATTGATCAGGTAAACGGAGAAATCAGAATCCAGATTCAAAATGTTATAAAACAATGGTATAAAATGTAGTGGGAAACAGAAATATTACCCGATGACAGGTTGTATTTGCAAACATGGTCATTATTATCACCATAAAACCCCCTGTAACATCAACTTTTTTGTCATTGGCTTCATCGGTTTAAACATCCTTTATCTATTAACGTGTATAAAACTTATGCTTCATAAGAGTTAGACTATAAATGCATGTCGGCTATGAAGGAGCACAGAAATGCCCTTTTCATCTTCGTTAGCCAAGGGTTTTCGAGTAGAGAAGATGTGCCTATTCAGGAGTCCAGGAAATAAATTCTATTTAATTACCTGGCATAACCTTCTTACTTCTTTTGAAGATTTTACAACCCCACCCAGAGTGGTCTGATGGAGTCCCCGGTTTTAGCTGCTCTCAGGGAGCGTTTTAATATCGGAGCAGTGGTAGCAGGCACCAGCGCCGGAACTGAATGCCAGCCAAACAAAATAATGATCAACAGTAAGTTTTACTAAAATAGCATCAGAAACATCCATTGCTTTGCTAACGCATAAGTCAGTGTACCCGTCTACAAGTGCGATATCTCATTCTGCCTATTCGACACGAGTAAATCTAATCGTCGATTTGTCTACTGCAATCTGCTAGTAATTTGCTCATGTCATTATATCAACTCAACGCCCTCAAATGATCCTCCTACGGTCTTACCAATTTTCTGAAGCTGAGTGTGACCTAAGATAAGACTGGCGGATACGTATGATAGTCAGAAAGGGCTCGTCAGAAGTGATGACTCTGTATCGCAAATGTTATCCAGCCTAACATTCGCCTAAAATAGCCATCAAGTATTTTCAAACTCCCAAAAGAGATCTTATCTAGGATGCTTTGTGAACATACAAACTTTAGCGGAAGTTTGTTAATGCTTTGTCATCCATACATGATCCATCACTATTCCGGTTGCCATGGCTTTACAGTACAGCTTTTAATAAATTTTGCAAATATTAAGAAGGCAATATTAGTTATTAAAGAAGAAAATAGAAATTCTTAAACAAGACAAGCTATTGACAAACAAGTTAAAGAAACAAAGTTATTAACAGTATTATTTAAAATAATCACTTCGCAAGTTCTTTGGTCTAAACAACTTAATTACATAGTCAGAAAATACAATTTATCATTAAGTCGAATGCTGAAGGCCGTTTTTCATTCTAATTTAAGGTAATTATTTACACACTTAATTGTCCATGGATTTTCGCATAATTTCTCCCATCATTACAAGAAACAGCAGATATGACCTGTGGACAAAGGATGTTGACTCTGGTAGGATTTCATTTGTCATACCGGCGTACGCCGAATGCGCCCGCTTGACCTTTCGTAACCCGGCTTGTTACTTCATTTGACCGGGGAAGGTTCGCCGGCGTACGCCGAATGCGCCGGTCTGAAATGACCGGCGAGGAAATCGCCGGTCTTCGAAATATGGCGGGAAGAGAAAACAACTGTGAAAATGCAGATACTTTTACCAAATCGACATGTTCTTTATTTGTTTGCATATTTTGAGCAAATCTCTATTCATATGTTTTTATTTTTTTCTGAAAAATAAAATTTTTCATGAGGTCCATGGTTTTTTTTTTTTTAAATTGAATTTCGAATTATTCTACTAAGACATAATGTAAAAAGTGATGAAACTCAATTAACTGATCATCATTTAGCGTAATTATTCATTTAAGAAAAAAGGTATCATTTTTTGAGTTTTATTGAGATGTAAAACGGGTTGGTCACGTGATCAAATCCCATAAAGCCCGAAGGGCTTTATGGAAGATTTGATCATGTGCCAACCCGTTTTACATCTCAATAAAACTCAAAAAATGTTACCTTATTACTTATATTTACATTTGTGACTTATTCATACTTTATATTTGCCTGATTGTTACTTTATACGTGTGAAATGCGTTATTTTTCAAACCCAACGGCATGTATGTTATCCACTAAACGCGCGTCGACCCTTTATGACGTCACAGAGAAATTACGTCGAACGTTTATCCAAACGCACATCTTTGACCTCTTGACCCCGTACCTGTATTTATACAGTTATAAAAACGCTTGCCTTCAGTAGTGTTATATAAAGGAAAACATTTGCAAATGTAAATATTTTTAAAAAATGTTTTCGCCGGTTTACTTCATTTGCCTCTTAGCCGTTTTACGCCGGTCATATGACCGCAGCGTACGATCAGTGACAAATGAAATTGGCCCTCTATTAACTTTGAGCTTGAATACTGTTTGTTCTAATTATAAAACGTCCATAAAATTGATTATTCGGAAATTTTAACGTCTTGCTTTTATTCATGGCTACCTTTATATCAGATACGTCTAAAACAACTTTTGAAAAAGTAAAAAATTAAAGTTTATGAGATGGTGCGTTAGCAAGTTTTGCGAGTGTATTTGAAAAGATTCACTTTTCCACAAATGGAGCATTGACTACATTTATTGTAGGTGGTGAGAGTTGGGAAGCGCTTAGATATGGTGTACACACGAGCTATTCTGACAAACGTCCACACGACCTAGTCTATAATCCTCGTGGTGGGTTAGGATTCCTGGATGGCTTTATCATTGATGCCCATTTTAGGTAATGATTCAACGAACCTCTGTCCAGTTCTTATAGTCGTGATCCGAGGGAAATTATTCCATCTATTTATAAACTGTTCAGGTGTATTCTGGAAATGATTGATTGATTGTATGTTGTTTAACGCCCCTCTTGAGAATATTTTACTCATGTGGAGACCACTTGCCGATGAAGAGCTACAAATTTTGTCCTTTACTAGGCACTTATGGCCATTGAGCAGTGAGGGATCTTTTTCGTGCCAGCACCTAATGCGACACGGGACCTCGGTTTATACGGTCTCATCGGAAGGACCGGTCTCCACATCCCACAGTGGTGTATTCTGGATTTGAATTTGAAATGAAAACTATGTTATTGTTTTCAGTGAACGTGGAAGAGAAGGAAGACTAGCAGTGCTTCTTGACGAGACTCGTCGGAGTTCGCACATCTCGCGAGGCTTTGGCGTTGATGAGAATACCGCGTTAGTTGTCACACACGCTGAATCCGATGCTAT